CAGAGCTATTCAACTTGTAATTTGGTTCAGTCTTTTCTAGCACAAAACTATGTGTTCCACCAGGAAATTGTAAAAGGCAGGGTGAAGGGGGAGAATGAAAGCTTGAGATTGATAGAACCATGGTTGTGGAATACCTACTTACTTTGAATGAATTTAAACCTCTCCAGGACCAGATGAATTGCATCCTGTGGTATTGAAGGAACATGTTGATGGTCTGGCAAATCTTCATGTAGTATCTTAGAGAAATCCTGGGGAACTGATGTAGTGCCAGAACTGAAGGAGAATGAATGTTGCCCCTACCTTCCAAAAAGTGGGGAAGGAATATATAACGTACTACAAACCAGTTTGACATTGAATCCCGGGAAGATTCTAGAGCAGACAATAAAGAGATCAATTTGTGAGAACCTTAAAAAGAGTGAGGTAATTACCAGAAGTCAAGATAGGTTCATCAAGGACAAATCTTGCAACATTAATCTTATCTCATGTTATGATATGGCAACTTCCTTAGAGTGTGAGAATTCTATAAGCATAATATATCTTAATTTCAGCAAACTTCGTCAAAGTATTTGACAAGATACCCCATAACATGCTGATTAGTGTGGGCCGGATGGCATGACAGGTAGATTGTGATTGAATCTGATGCCTATGAGGAAGCATGTTCTTCCTGTGTATTTCTGACTTTGAGATTAGTATTTTTAGTAGTCAAGAAAAGAAATTGTGAGATATCTGATATATTGAAGTAGCTGTTAAGAGCCAGTATGATATACTGGTATCGTGTTGAGCGGGCATCAGGGAACTTAGTTCACCTCCTGGCACAGAAGCTCAATGAGTAACGTTGGGCCAGTCACTTTCTCTCATTCCAATCTACCGCATAGGACTGATATTGTGGAGAAAAATAGAAGGAGGGAGTGCTATGCGTGCCATCTCGATCTCCTAGACAAAAGGAGGGATATAAAACAAATCAATTCAAATTGTGGTCATTTGCTATTTCAAATTTAATTTTAATCAGCTTGCTGAGAGCACCTTATAACAGATCAACACTTGGTTAACTCTTCCCACCATCACTGAAATACCGTGATGCTTAGGATACAATGTAATTCTTGAAGTTTTCAAATTAGGCTTCAGGCACCTAGCCTTTTATACATACATACATACATACATACATACATACATACATACATACATACATAATTTTTATTGAAGAAGTTTTTCAACAGAATTAAAAACAGTACAAATTTTGAATTAAGGAAGAATAAAGAAAAGTAATAAGAAAGTGAAAAAGAAATATAGAAAATGAAGTAGAAAAGGGAGAAAAAAAGGAAAGGAAAGGAAAAGAAAGATTCTAAAGAAGCAGATTCTGGTCTTCTTGGTAGCAGTTGTCGATATAGTTATATTTTACCCTTTCTCTCTAAGGTTACATCATAATTTCCTTCTTTCCATAGTCTGCCTTTTCTAATCTTCAAACCCATAAATCGCAAGTTCATTTTTCTCTTTTTTCAGCAAAAAGTCCATAAAGGGTTTTAGTCACAAATAAATGTAGCTATTGATCTTTCTCTAATCAAGCATGTTCATTTTGCCATCTCTGCTAGTTCCGTCATCTTCACCAACCTTTCCTCCATTGTGACTACTTCCATCGTTCCATTTTTGCGCATAAAATAGTCTCACAGCAATAATCATATATAAAAATAATCTTCCATGACTCTTTTCTAATTGACTGTCCATTAATCATAGCAAGAAAAGTTCTGGTTTCAGTTGAATGTTGATCTTTAACATTCTTTGTATCATTACATATATTTGAACTGAAAAATTTCTGGCTTTTTTTACAACTTCACCAGGCATGATAAAAATGATGATGTTGTTCACATTTCCAACATAAATTTGAGATACCTTTATACATTCTAGACAATTTTTCTGGAGTTGTATAACAGTGGTACATCATTTTATAAAAATTCTCTTTTAAGTTATAACATAATGCAAATTTCAATTCTTTTAGCCATATATTTCCCCACTGTTCCGTAAATATGTTATGTCCAAAGTTCATAGCCCATTTTATCATACAGTCTTTCACTTATTCTTCTTCCATTTCAAATTTCAATAAAAGTTTATAGATTTTAGCAATTACAGGTTCATCATTGATACGTAGTTCAACGAATTCTGTCTTTTGCTGCTCAATTCCAAATGTCCTATTATCTACCTTAAATCTTTCTAACTATGCATACGAAAACCATTGAAAACTAAATCTTTCTGCAGCTAGTTGCTCTCTTGATTTCATCTTATATTCTCCATGTTTCTGTTCTAACAACTCCCAGCAGAACCTACTTTTTCATCCAGACTAAGTAGAAGGCTGCAAAGTACAATTTTAAATCAGGGAGCCCCAATCCTCCTTGTTCCTTTACATCTTGAAGTACTTTATATGTAACCCTTGGTTTTTTCCCTTGCTATACAAACTTAGATGTATCTTTCTGCCATTGTTTAAATGGTACATCAGTTGTCAAAATAGGTATTGTTTGAAACAAAAATATCATTCTTGGCAAAACATTCATTTTTATCACAGAAATTATCCCCAACAGTGACAATCATCCTTTCTCCCATCTTAACATGTCCTTCTTGATTTCATTCCATGTCTTAACATAATTATTCTGGTATAACACACAATTCATGTTAGTCATAGTGATACCCAAGTATTTCACTTTTTTCTTAATCTTAAAACCAGTTTTTTCCATCAATTCATTTGTTTTTCAGTGTTCATATACTTTGTTAATATCTTCATCCTTTGTTTGTTCATTTTAAAGGCAGCTAATA